AAAATCTAATCAATTCTAAGTTAGCCCATTTCTGACCTATCCTGAAAATTTTATGACAATCCGTCCATAACTTTTTCAGCTAAGCTGTACACAAACAAACCCACAAACCAACAAACACACGCCGGTTAAAACATAATCTCCTGCCAACCCCTTGGGATGGACAAAAGATATTAACAATAACGCATGTGCTTCTTTTGAAGATTCATGCGGTTGCACGTCTGCCAAATTTTCTTTGGACATTTGCTGAAAAAATACGGTAATTCCACGAGGCCATGCTCTGGAACAAACTAGTTAGTATAGCAAAATTTTCAGGGAGTCACACGGACTCCTGCATATGTCAAATCAGGGAGTCCGACAGTAAATCGGGAAGTATTTGACTCCGGACCCTGTACATACACACACATATGCACATCACATACGTACATTTATACATAGAGTCTCATACTCACATGCCCAGCTTCTCGGTGAAGTGTCGTTTCAGACTCATGCGCAGCGCATGCCAGAACAGCTCCCGCCCCACGAGCGCGCGCGACACCGCGTGAACGAGACAATGCCCATCGCCTGACGCATACACGGGAACCAGGTTCTCCTCCCCGCCGTCGGGGGCGCCACCGTCCTTGCCAGCGTCGTCGTCGCCGCGGTTGAATTTCCGTACGACGTCTAGTGTTGCCTGTAGGTAGCGTTGGCTGCCAGATACGTCACGGCCGTAGCTGCGTGAGGGGGGAGGGGGAGGGGGTAGAGGTGAGGTCAACGCATATTAATATAATACGGCATGTTTTATTATATACGTACGTATATCTTACTGATCTACGTGATCTTACTGTGCATTTAACGTTAAGAGAACTGTCTGACTGTCATGTCCGTTACACTGAAACTGCCCATATATATAATAACACACGCGCGTGCATGTGTGCACACTCCCATGCAGACACACTCACACTCACTCACACGCAGACATGCACGCATGCACACACACACACGCACGCACGCACGCTCACACGCACGCTCACACTCAGACATGCACGCACGCATACACGCACAATTACTGTAGCTATCAGTTAATAAATTAACGACCCCCCCACCCGCGCACACACTTACCCACGCACGTCCAAATGTTCCGGATTCAACAGGAACGCGCGATCGCCGAGCTTCGAACAATCGAACGTCTCCGCCGCTCCGCTGCCCCCCGCCGCCGACGGTGGCGCCATCTCTCGCAGCGGCCGCGCCCGCTTCGTCGTCCGGTCCATCCCGTACTCTGTGAGCAGTGGCGAGAGCAGCTTGCAGTAGTCGTTGGAGAGGCCGAGAACGCGGACGGCGTCGTCACGGCGACGGGCGCGCGCTCCCACCAGCAGCGCGTTCCTCAGCACGTTGTGCACAGCCACGCACCGATTGGTCACCTGCGAGGAGACAGACGCCATGTTGGTTTCGGGCGGAGGCGGAGACAAAGATTTTCCACTAAATTTTCCAAATATAATCGGTAGTAACCTTGAAATCAGAGCAATTGGCATTGATAAGACACCTGACTCTGTTGCATAAAAACTTTTGAATGTGATGAGAAGTGAATTCAAAGTGCCTAATAGACAATTAACTGTCTCATATATTATTAGCAGTAATGGATGTCAGAGTAGATTTCGCATAGTTCCCTACGTTTGACCTCATTAGGCCAATCAGCATACGCATTAACTAGCGAGGTAGATATTACAGGGAATGGACTGTGTTACAAACCTGACTGGCAGTAGCAAGTACAATGTCTAATTCTCCAACACGTTTCAGGTAGAAAAAAAACGCGATTTTTAGATACGTTGAACGTTCACAGATGTTACAATAAATTTTGGTTAAGGGAATTCATTTATCGTTACAGGTCATTGCTATTGAACAAGGCTTTTTTATCATTAAAGCCTTCCTGTTGCCAAACAGGTCTTTTTTTATCAGTAAACCCTTCCTTTAACGAGTTAGGGCTACTTTATTTGTCAGGACATTTTACGTTTGTTATTTTACTGGGACGACGCGACCGCCGGCACCGCCGTTGACGACAGACGCACCTCCTCCACGTCCACCAGGGCGCGCTGCTGGTGCCTCTGTCCGCACTCGGTGCATTCCACGCTCGCCTCGTGCGCAGGAAAGAACAGCAACGTCTTGCACTTGTCGTCCGGGCAACGTCCCCTCAGCAGATGATAGGGGTTCGTGTTGTCGCCTGCCCGCTTCTGTTCCTGATCCGAACCAGCCATCGCACCTCCGCTATATCTGAAGAGAAATAATTTTTTTAATAAAATGATTTTTTTTTTAGTAATTACATTAATTATTATATAGTTGTTACTCGCAATTACGGTTGTTACTAACGCAGTTTCTTCTTCGTTCCATTCATTTTGGTTAACTTTGTCTTTCTCCCAGTGAGATATTTATCTATCTGACTTTTTTAGTTACTGTGAGCTATGAGTATAGTAATTGACTAACTGGATTCTATTCATTTCTATAAAGTGCAATGCAAAAAAACATGTAAGGCAGTGTTGTACCTCAAATCCGGGTGCAAAATAATAAGTTAGTACAGTAGGACGAGGGTCTGAACCCGGAGGCGTAGCTCACCGCGTAGACACACAAACAAACAAACTCATTAGCGTTTGCCACTACTGGAGTACTGCCAGTCTTAGAATGTACAACTTTCAACAGGTCATACAATCCATGCAATCTAGGACGTTCGCCGCCTTTTGTGCGTGAAACGATACCCTCCGAAGCGGCTACTTAACACCGAACGGATCACGTTCTCACGTATCAAAACTACCCACGGACATTTTTTACCTTACCCGGACAATTACCCACCCGGGACGATTACCCACCAGGCAATACCCCTGACAATTACCACAGACAATTCCCGACGATTACCCACCGGACGATTACCCACCAGACATCAGCCACACAGGACATTACCCACCAGGACAATACCACACTAGACAACTACCGCCGACAATTACCACCCGACACTCCCCACCCGGACAATTACCCACCCGACAATCACCACACTGGCCGACACCACCCACGGACGGACGATTACCACACAGACAATTACTCACTAGGACACACCCCCCGCAATTATCCACCGGACAATACCACCAGACAAATGTACCACCAGACGATTACCCCCACCCAACGAGAACAATTACCCACCAAGGAAGATTACCCCCGCAAACCCCATCGGTGACGATACCCCCAGAAAGAATTACCCCACGACAATTACCCACTAGACAACTACCACAGACAATTACCCCACCAGACAATTACCACCTGGACAATTACGCCGGACCATTACCCACCAGGACAATTACCCCCCGACAAAAATTTACCCGGGCACATTAACCACTGGACAATTACCCCCCTCGGAACGGCGGGGTCGACCATACCCCGACAATTACCCCCGACAATTACCCCGGAAATATTACCCACCAGACAATTTACACCCCGCAATTTAAAAAAACGCCCACCAGACAATTACACCCGACAATTACCCCACCAGAAAGATACCCACCAGGAGATTACCCACCAGACAATTACCTCCACCAGACAATTCCCCGCCACTAGACATACTACCATAGAAACCCCGACCAAAATTAACCCACCCGGCAATTACCCTCAGTTACCCACCCAAGGACAATTACCACCTGGACAATAACCTCACAGGACCAATTAACCACCGAACAATTACTTCCCGACAAATTACCCCCGGACAATTACACCACTAGGTAGATAATAGATAGATAGACTAACAGAAATTAACGATAGACACAGATAGATAAAGAGAATAAGAGATTATGAGCCATAGATAGATAGAGTAGATAGATAGATGGGACTAGATAGATAGACTGAAGGAATAGATATAGTATAGAATGCAACTAGGTAGATAGACGAATAGATAGATACGACACAGATAGAGATAGATAGATAAGGATAGAGTACAGAATACAATACGATAGATAGATAGATAAATAGATAGAAGACTCACCACCAGATAAATGGATAGATAGATAGATAGAAGATAGCATAGATACGATAAGATTTACCACGATGGATGGATAAATAGATAAATGATCTTTGAGATAGATAACTAGATATTATAGATAGATAAGACCGGACATCCCCCGGACACATTACCACACCAGGACACTTAGCCCCCCACTTCCTCCCGGGCCCATTCCCGCACCCCGCCGTCCCCACCAGCCAGCTCCACCAGCCGATTCACCCACAGCAGATTACCGCACCGAGATTCCCCACGGCCCTTACCACAATTCCATCAGGCTTCCCCACCAGCAATTCCCGCCCGGCCACTACCACCCGGCGATTACCCCCCACCAGCCACGCTACCCGACACGATTACCCGGACCCTTACCCCCAGACAACTTACCTGTCCACGCAGGACAACTTACCCCCCCCACCAAAGACAATCCCGCGACGAATTACCACCAGGACAATAACCCACTGGACCTTAACCCACCGACCACATTACCCCCCGGACATTACACACCGGACAATTACCACCAGAACATTACCCCCAGGAAATTACCCACCAGGAGACATTACGTCACCTCGGACGATTACCCCAGCCAGGACAACTACCCACTGACATTACATAGATAGCACACCTGAGGAAAGATAGATAGATAGATAGATAGATAGAATTAATTGATAGATAGAGAGAGAAGAAGAGAAGAGAGAAGAGAGAGAGCAGAATAACAGAGAGAGAGAGAGAGAGAGAGAGAGAGCAGAGAGAGAGAGACGTGAAATGCCATGCAGTACAACCAGAAGAAAAAAAGAGAAGCGAAAGAGAGAGAGGGGGAGAGCGAAAGAGAAAAAACGAAAGAGAGAGATGAGCAATAAGAGTCGCAGTGAAAGAGAGAGAAAGAAACGAAACGAACAGAGGACGAGAAACGTAGAGAGAGAGAGAAGAAGAAAGGAGACGAGAGAGAGACAGTGTATCGTTTCTTTCAACACAAAAAGCGTATCGAATCAAAAAAACACGACTTCACTATAGTTTCTCACCTAAAAAACACACTCCTCGACAAACATAATATAACCTCCTAAAGTTGCATTCGTACTATAAATACTTTAATCGTTGCTTTCCTGTACTACTCTCCCGGGCGTCTTTCTCCTTTTAAATCAGCGCACCTCATGGGATTGCTCAGGTATAATCCGCCATAACCCAACGTGTCACTCCCCCACACGGCCCATTACCCCCAGACTTACCAACACCGAAGTACATTTGTCTGTCACCAACTTCCCTGTGTTCATCCAGAGTGACCCTCAGTGAGAACAATTGCTGACCTCCAGAGATCGGTGGACGTAATTAAATCGCTCAGGCAAGTCATGCTAACGCTGAGGCTCCGCCTAGCTGTCAACAGTGAACATCTTTCTCGTCGGCACTCCATTAATTCTATCACTCGCCTCCCCCGCCGCGTGCTCCTCTTTCTCGTCCTCTCTCTCCATCATCTTATCTTGTTCTCTCTCTCTCCTCTCTCTCTCTCCTCGTCTCTCAACACGACCTACAGGCCCACACAAACCGTCATATCATGCTTCCATTCGGACGCCCTTCCACACTCGCTGAATCCCTGGCGAATATTTTTGCCCTTTCATATCTATCGCGCATCTATCTTACCCGCCCTCACACCGCTCTGCATCTATCGGCCCCACACACACACACACACACAAGCATCAGACCACATCACTACCAAACACCAACAGCGCGCATCAGGCACACCCCGCCGGCGTGCCGCACGCGCCCACACGACACCACCCCCATCATCACCCCAACGTAATTGTTAGCTCGACCACTTTGTCCGAGGTCCGCTGCATACCAATCAGACCATCACACTCCAATCCACTATTCACATTCACTATAACACCCACATGCCACCCAGCTCCCGATCACCTGGCCCGTGCCGCGTCGCGTTCTTCTCTCCCGTGTTGTTCCTTGTTCTTGCTCCACGTACTTTATTTTCTCATCCCGGGACTCGCGCTCTTGCCACTTCGCATCCACTAGCCACCCACACCCTCGCCTACCTCCGACCGCAGCCCCGCCCACCACACCTTTTTCCCCGTTTCCGGTACCTCTACATATCACACACACGAGCATCAACATCACACCACACACCCACAGCACACCACCACAAATTTCACACAAACACACACACTCGCGATCACAAGACGTCCATCGGGCCTTCCCCCTCCCCGTTTAAGCGTCACTCCGCGTTCGCTCTTACTCGCAAGGTCGCTCGAGTTCCCGCCCACACCGAAGTACTTCTCCTCGTCGCCCCGACTAACGAACAACGCTTCCACACACTTTGCTGACTTGCTCTCGATGCCGCTCCTCGAGTCCAAACTCCATCCCCTTCAACCATCCCTATACCCTTGCGTAACTTCAGCATCGTCAAGAATATACTCTCCGCATGTGTAAGGCGTGAGTTGTATTACTCACACATCAGCCAGTGCCTACACTCTGCACCGGCCTCACACCCGAGAATGCACCGTAGTCGATGCCAATGCGCCACATAATGTACTCACATCCAGGCTCATGATCTCGGAACCCGAGCCCACGCTGTCCATCGTAGCACTCCACTCTCTCGCCGACCAACGACCCCCGGACGCACTAGTTATATTTAATCACCAATCCGGTTATAAATTCAGTGACTATCCTAAGATCGAGGTATCGCATCCCTTGCTTTAGTACGCGGACTACCCCCCCGTGTGCCAACCATCCCGCTCTATAATTCCATTCGTTGTGTCGCTAACAATTCCTACAAGCTCAACTCCTACTACTGGTTATCTCTAAGTTTTAGCGGAGATACTATGTATCTAGAGCGAGGCATCTCTAGTTTTCACACATCTCTCACTATAATACCTTGTTATTCGTCTCCCCCTTAACATATGAGTCTTCTAACCTACACCACTCATTACTAGTGATATATACTATACCTTAGTCCACGCGCATACATCAATAGCAACTTCGCGCGCGTAGCATGTCATACAATTCGCGCCGTGCACTCAATCCGACGCAAAACCACACCAACGACCACCAGCGTGGTGGAGCCGTTCGTTCTCCACCACTGACCACCGAGCAGCAATCATACGCCCCGACAACGGCCGTTTGTACTAACATCCACATATCTATCCCACGCCCTCCCCTAAATGTATTGCCAGCCAGCCACCACTTTACCCCGGCACGGGCAGAATTTCCCTTCCTTGGACTTACATGTAGCAGGTAGCATCCATTGAGTCCACTGCAGTGGATTGTCCGACTGGTGGGTATTGTCCCCCACGGGGTACATGTCCTGGTGGGTCATTGTCCCTGGGTGCT